AGTTGTCAGGCAAGTGCTTAGAAACCCAGGGAAAAATCTAAGCCCTGGGCAGTGGCGGGAAGGGCCAACGGTTCTCCCTTCGTGGTTGGCAGTGAGGGCACATAGCAGTCAGAACCCCTGCTCACCGTGGTCAGCTGCTGTCCCCGCTGGGCCTCTGGGGCACATGGTGGTGGCGTTCAGGCCACCTCTGAGTGCACCACTTCTTGCCTCTGCAGCCTCCAGAGCAACACGATCAGGGAGGACGGTGCCGGGTCCATGGCTGAGGCCTTGGTCTCCAACCTGACCCTCTCTGTGCTGCAGTGAGTGGACGTACCTCCTCTCGCCTCCTCGCCTCCCATTCTCGCACCTTTCTCGCCTCCCCCAAGGGCCTCTCTGCCTGTTTCCTGCAAGGAAGAATGGATGTGCCGAGGCTCTAAGGCTTTCTGATCCATCTGGATGGCCGCTTGCAAACCTGATGCTTACTGCTTTTCCAGAGAATAGGTGTTGGGGAAATAATTAAAAATAAAACCTCTTGCTAAGCCAGAAGATCCTCTCCACAAACATAGGAAAGAACACGACAGTGTTGGTATTGAATAAGCATTAAACTGACTGAACGTGTCTCACAGGCAACCTGCCCACGAGACTGCAGAGACAGAAAGAAATCTCACCCTTTCTATAGCCAAGTGGACACAGCCCATCCCACAGGCATTCTCAAGATAAAGGACAACTGTCCTCAAGCAAGAGGACCTGGCAGCACCGTTTGTCGTACATAGTTCATCCTAAATTCACCTGATAATTCGGGTGGCCATCTGTGTTCCTTTCTTCCTTTTATCCAAAGGAAAAATAAAACTTCTCGTATCTTTATGACATGCAGGTACGTAACTAGTTAATTTCCACAGAGGCAGGGAGACGGGGACTCTGTCTTTCCCTGACATTTCAAAGAGATGGCTCCAAGTCTCTTACAAGAGACATTCCTGGCTGTGAAACTGGCAAGAGGATGATTTAGCTTTTTAAAAAGATTTACATGCATCTCAAAGGGACAGAGGAAGGATCTGTAATCTCAAGTTTTCTCAAGGAAATATTCTAAGAAAAGGTGTGTGTGTGGGGGGGCGTCTCTGTCCTTTTTGGAACCAGGGAAAATTACATTTTTTTTAGATTTACATTTAGCCTCGCACAGGAGAGGCCCTGCCCTGTCTGTGCTAGGATGAGAACAGGGGTTCCCAGGCAACATCTCCCTCCACCAGATTGCATATAAGAGGAAGTAGCTTTTGAGAAGAGGAACCGAAGCGGTGGGTGTCCCTAGGGTCTCATGGTGGAGGCAGGCCGCTGGCTGGTCTGGACGGGAGGCAGATTGTTGGGTGAGGGGCCTGCGGGACTTGTCCAGGGAAGCCCCCACTTGGGAGGTTGCTGGGCATCACCTCACCCGCTGAGCTCTGCTCTCCAGCCCTCACAAGGGGGCTCCAGCTGCCTGGCCACTGACTCTTCTACGTAATAATGTCGGCCCACCAGCATCACTCTGGCAACAGTCCAGACCCTTCCAGGAGATCCCTGCCACCCTGCTGTGATAAATGGAGAGGGCACCCTGGTTACCTCTGACCTTGAACCCAGACTGTCCTTGGTCTGGGAATGGCTGTGGCCAGCTTTGCTGAAGGACGCCTCTCTCCTCACACAGCCTGCAGAAGAACACCATCGGGCCCGTGGGAGCCCAGCGGATGGCAGATGCCCTGAAGCAGAACAGGAATCTGAAGGAGCTCATGTGAGAAATGCAGAAGGGCTCAATTCACATGCTCAGTGGCTAGCACAATGACAGACCCAGCATAAGTATTTTTGAGCATGGGGAAGGATGCACGGATGGATGGTTGGATGGTTGGCTGGGTAAATGAATGGATGGGTAGATGAGTGGATGGATGGGTGGGTGGCT